CTGGTATTGTTTATGTCCGTTAAATGTATATTTATTGTATTGATTGAATACAGAGGTTCTAGTGCCATAGAATTGATTAGAGAAGGAAGAGAGAGAGAGAGGGAGAGAGAGAGAGAGAGAGAGAGAGAGAGAGAGAGAGAGAGAGAGCTGTATTGTCACCTATTCCCAGACCTCACTCTAAGTCATTGTTATTTTTCACCAGTGGTGGCTCCTCAGAGGAAGATAAAACGATACTAAATATATTCACGTCATCAAATAACTGATTCAAACAAACTGTTTTGCAATGAAGGGTAGCCCCAACAGCACTCTCTGGGGTAGCACCCATTGTGTAGCCGGAAGACAACTAGCTTCCGTCCTCCTCTGGGCATATCGACTTCAATACAAAACCTAGGAGGCTCAAGGTTCTCACACCCTTCCATAGACTTACACAGTATTTAAAAACTTCCGGAAGACGTCCTCCAACCTATCTGAGCTCTTGCGGCACGAACTGAATGTTGTCCACCCAATGAAAGGATCATAAATTGAATGTAGTACTGAAAGCATAAACTACAGCTAGCTATCACTGCAGTGCATAAAATGTGGTGAGTAGTTGACTCAAAGAGAGAGCAATACAATAGTTGAACATTTTTGGACAAATTAATTTATTCAAAAATGAAGGACAAGCAAGAGAGAGAGAGAGAGAGAGAGAGAGAGAGAGAGAGAGAGGGAGAGAGAGAGAGAGAGAGAGAGAGAGAGAGAGAGAGCGAGAGAATTCATCATTTTTTTTCACTTTCACTTAGCTAGCAAATGCAGCTAGCTAGTTCAGTCTACTCAAACACCCGGCTCAAACAGAGGGATGCTATGTTAGCTAGTTGGCTATGACTATCCAACACAACACTGGAACTCTTCGAAGTCATGATAAGCTTTTGGTTTTACTAATTTACGGAAGCAAACGGAACAAAATGGGGATAAACATAACAGAATTTGTTCAAAAGAAACTCTTGTTTGCAACTGTTGGACTAATGATTACACAGTAGATCAGCTAGATGCAGGCAAGAGTGTGCAAGGTGGTATTGAGTGTGTCACTGTCTGTCACCTCAAAATTTTCTTTCGACCTGTGTGCACCTACGTTGTAAACTTTCATTCATAGGCTAGGTTGTAGCAACCTCATGATGGGTATAGGGCAAATGTGAGTATCATGTAGTAGCCTAAACCTATCGATGTTACATTGAGCTGGTTGAATGGAATATGAATGTCATCCAATATGCTGTAATAGAAATAAAGCACAGACTGCCACTGTTCTTCACCACATGTATAAGTGGACCTTCAGGACACAGGGCTAGCGAGCTGTGATGGAGTCAGACACTGGAAAACCTCCAAATGTCGTCTGGAACCAAAATATCAGCTGTGTGTCGACACACACCGATACACACATTGTCACTGATACACACACACCATTCGACAAGCCCACACTGCACAGACTGTGAGAACACACACTGTCACACACTATTTCACACACAGTTATACACACCAACAAACATTGTTCTGCAAGCCCAAACTGCACAGACTGTGTACACACACTATCACACACAGTTCTCTCCAGACTCATCCATGCAGGATCAGCCAAGGGGCTCTACTGTACTCTACATATCATTTCATGTCGTTTGCACAGAGCTCTGAGCACACAGAGGGTGTTCATATAGAACAAACCATTCTCCTTAGAGAGTAAAGCTATCTATGCTCAATGACGTGTGAACAGAGATAATATTAAGTAGCCTGTCTAGGATGACTATAGGGCATTAACTCTTCTGCCAGCCTACATTACCCATACTCCTCTGCTTTACTACTATTCCTGGCCTACACTACCCACCCTTCACCACTGCACTGAGCCAATACCCATCCTCCTGTGCTCCATCGCCATAGTATCTTACCAGTGCATTTCTTGGGGCTTCCGGGGCGCTTGCCATGCATCCCCAGCTTGCAGCCGAAGTTCTCCTCCCAGAACTCAGCGAACCACACGTTCCTCCTGTTGTTGGACAGAGAGCGGCTCCTGAAGTAACGGTCAAATGCTGTGGGGGAGAGGGGGAAGAAGGAAGAGAGGAAGGGGGAGATTAGGGAGGGGATGGAGGAGAGGAGAGGAGAGGAGAGGAGAGGAGGAGGGAGGAGGAAGAGGACGAGGAGAGTGAGGAGATGGAGGACGAGGAGAGGAGTCGATGAGCGATGTCTGAGAGGAATACGAGGGAGCTGGCGCGGAGGAGAGGACTTCAGAGTTTGAGCCGAGCGACGAGGAACGAGGATGGGAGTAACGAGAGGAGAGGACGAGGACGCGGAGAGGAGACGAGAGCGAGAGGAGAGGAGATGGAGAGGAGAGGAGAGGAGATAGGGAGAGGAGAGGAGAGAGAGGAGAGGGAGGCAGAGAGGAGGGAGGAACGGAGAGGAGAGGAGACGAGGAGAGGAGAGGAGAGGAAGGAGAGGAGAGGAGAGGGAGGAGAGAGGACGAGGAGAGGAGGAGAGGAGAGGAGAGAGAGGGAGAGGAGGAGAGGAAGGAAGAGAGAGGGAGATGGAGAGGAGAGGAGAGGAGAGAGGAGGAGAGGAGAGGAGAGGAGAGGAGAGGGAGGAGAGGAGAGGAGAGGAGAGGGAGGAGAGGAGAGGAGAGGAGAGGAGAGGAGAGGAGAGGAGAGTGGAGGAGAGGTCAGTGAGTGACATTACTTGTAAATACAGACCTGTAAACATCTGGTATGATGTGATGTCAACCTTGTTGAGGGTATACTGTGTCTTTAACTCTTTCCCCTCAAAACACTATGATCTAAAATGGCTTCTGTCTATACCGTCCACGGAGGCTCGTTTGGGCAGGATGGTAACGGCTCCCTCAGCCACCCGCTCCTGGCCAATCACTGGAGAGATTTTGGAGCCCCAGCTGTCTGAACCCACCCACAGGAAGTGACCAGTCTGGTTGTTGTGCTTGGCCGCGTCCAGGATACGCCTGAGAGAGAGATAGAAGGAGAGAGAAAGGGGGTAGGGAGAGGGGGGAGGAGAAAGAGGAAGGGGAGAGCGAGGAAGAGAGAGAGAAAGACTCAGGACTGGAGTCACGACCGACACTTGGTATACCGGGGTATAAGGGTACAGGGGTGTGTGTGTAGTGGTGTAGGGATAGGCTATAGAGGTAGAGGTGTAGTTGTGTGTTTTTTGGGGGGCTGTACAACATACCGTATGTCGTCCTCGTTGGCAAACATAATGACAGCCCTGGCATTGGACGTCTCCAGCAGACGCATGATGATCTTATCAAACTCCCCTGGCTTGGGTTCACGCGGGATCTTCAGAGACTGAGCTA